GTATTCAGCCAGGCCAGCGTAGCTATTTGTTTAAAATGGTCTGTCACGAAACTTAATGTGACAAATCAAATTTTACGCGGGCAACAGCTAGTAATTTATATTTTTACTTAAAAAATACAGTAACTGAAAAAATATACCAACTGCACTAAGTAATGAATAACTTCGTTAATTGCATTAAATTACCTATAAAGAAATTCCGTAAAACTAACACAACATTCAACGACGTCTGCCCTCACGCGTCTGCCCGCGTTCGGGTCGCGTTCTCGGCGATGGCGCTTCATTGCTTAGACCGCCCCTCTACCGCCGCGCATCGTCCCCCGTCGTCTTACAGTAGACGCGAGGCGTAATGGCTTAATGCGTTGTGTCAAGTTAATCTTATCATAATAACTTTAAAAAGGTTCCTTCAAATTATTTAGTGTAAAAGACAAAGTTTATCTATATTAAATACTTGTGATGCACTGTTTGGAACCATTGGTGTAGTAATGAATATTACTGGAGTTTTTTCCCAACACCAAACCGTTATTTTACCACCTCTACATATGTTTCGATCACCAAGTCATCATCTTCAAGAGGAAGATTGAACTCTTAATCTTCATCTTGAAGATGGTCACTTGGTGATCGAAACACGTGTCGAGGTGTTGAAATAACGGTCCAGTAATACTTATATATTAAATACTTAAAACGACAATTTGAAAGATATTCTAGCATGTGCATTGTAAAAAAAGTATCCAATTTAATTGTATTTACGGCTCAGTATTTTGCATATAGTGTCTACCACACGAGAGGTACGTATATGCTATCGCAGACTTTTAAGCGCCATTGAATTAGTGCAACATTGCCAACGTAACACAGGTCGATTAATTCCGTCAGCACAAAAACTGGGTGCTCGAGATTCGACGAGGGCCGTTTTTGCCTGGTCTTGATTGGTGAAGGTTATACCGGTGAGTAAGTTATCGAAGTGTTCAAAAAGATGGTAGTCGGTTGGCAAGAGGTCTGGGGAGTAGAGATTTCGTGGAGAAAAATTGCCCGAAAATGGTTTTGTGAAAAAAACAAAGTATTGTGATCTACTATATGGAAATTAATTTACACGATAAGTTAAATATCAATATATTTGAAAAATTTGAAAAAAACATAAATAAGTAAATGAAATAATGAAGATGATGATGGAAAAATGCAAAAAATTGAAAATGAAAAATGTTTCAAACCATGCTACTTCACGACGCGACGTTTAGATTGTTAGTATCCACAATCGTTATCATCTCATTACGTTTTGCAGGGTTTTGATATATTTTGTAGTTCAAGTCTGACAGACCTACACGAGTAATTATATTTTGTAAAATCCTGACTTGTAATTATTTCATTGTTGATCCGATTTTCACAGATTTTGAATGTAATTTTTCAAATCAGTTATCAGAAAGTGGAACAATTTTAGATAGATTGTGCGAAAGAACAAATACGTCTTTGAATTGTTTAGATGGAGATGAAGATGCCCTCAATGAGGACGAATCAGATTCTAAAGTAGACTTTCTGGAGGAAAAAGCTATAGATAATGATGCGAAACGAGATGGAGTCATGTCTAATGATGAAACTGTTGAGCAGTCACAACAACAAACTTGAAATCCAACATTTATTAGGTAGGTTCAACTTACATAAAATGTAGCCAGAAACATTCGGCGTTGACCAATGTTATGAGCTTATGAGTGTCATTAAACAGCATCGTGACAGATATCGCCAGCAGCTCGTGCTGAAGGCATCACCATTTTGAGACTTCCTCCTTACCATTGCGAGTTAAACCCACTAGAATTAATCTGGGCTCAATTTAAGGGTTACGTAGCTCGTGAAAACGTGACATATAAAATTTCTGACGTCCAACGTTTATTAGAACTCGCAATGGAACGGATACGGAAAGAAGATTGGGCTAATGCTGTTGCCCATGTGATCAAGGAAGAAGAGAAAATGTGGAGATTGAACGGGATGGTAGACACTGTTTTCGACCAAATAACAATAGATTTAAGTGTGACTGGGGATTCCTCTTCGGACTAGTCAATGGATTCCGAAACTTCATAAGCATAACATAGGTAATTATTTCCTTGCTTTGTAGTTCTCTTTCTATATAAAGGGAACATAATAATTATTTTGTAAATTTTTCTGTTTTTTTGAAGTACTGTATTAGGCATAATAGAAAAATGTAATCAGTTTTACCATTGACACCAGGTAGCGCCACCTACTATAACAATGTTTACGTAATTACCTATGTGTTTAAATAAATAAAAATATCATTTTGGTACGCCTCTGCAGAGCTGGTAAGAGGATTATCTGTTGGTCACTTCAAGTGCGACGTTGCTAATGAATCACCTTCAATTGAAAATTGTTATAGTATAGTATCGTTCGCGCATTCAAAGCAACCACTATGAAGTCTGCTGCTGCTGGGATACCACCATCAAATGGTGGTATCCCTTTGCGCTTTGGAAGCAGAAGCGGCATTTGCTGGAAGACGCCACCCAAGGAGGTACGACGTGCACCGAAAGAGGAACCAGGAAGAAAGGTTTTCTGTTATACGAGTACCCCTACCACCCTTCATGCTTTATCTCTTTCCAGTTTGTTGGCAAAACCGGAGTTGCTTTTGTCCCACAAACAAGGGTGATTTCCTAAGCTTTAAATTAAAGTTATCACTTCCATGCTCGAGTCACAACTGGAAAATCGCTCGGAAATAGCCATCACTGTCGGGTCCCATTCATTTACCTGAGTTCTCCCTCTACTTGGTCGCCCTTGTCCTCCGAATGTGGCTCGGAATTCGACGACCGGTCGTTTGTAAGAAATCGCCGCTGGGAAACCGCGCTGGAGAAAGCCGCTGAGAAATCGCGAAGTATGTCACCGGCCATAGAGAGCATATTACTTATTTTTTTGTTACGTTCAAGAGAACTGAACATGAAGTGTAGAATTGAATATTTTATCACATTATTTCTTGTTAAACTCATTATAAACAAAATACCCATGAATCTGTTTCAGCTTATAGGTAGTACGTCGTTCTGATATCCGTAATATCAATACTAGGTTCAACAATTTCAATATTCCAAGTCATGTTACATTTGCATTTCTTATCTGGCACCGTTATACTTGAACAGGATAATTCCTTTCCTGAATTCATCTTTATATGAAGTGAAAAACATAATTTGAAATCAACTTTGCTGAATAGTATGGAGTAATGTAGTGTTTTTGTTTGCTTTTTTCCAGTTTGAGATGTATTCATCACACTCTCTCTTAAATTATGTGAGCTTGGAGAAAATTGAATGATATCATTCCAATATCTTATCACTCGAAAATGTTAATTTTTATCATTAATCAAAAGGAGTGGAAGATAGCCATAGGCTAACCCCTACCCTTTTGTGTGTAATTTATTATATATTGATTAAGGAATTATTTCTCCTCTGATGTAAATTTGAAAAGAAAAGCGGGGCACACTGACGCAAGTAACTTTCTATATATAGAAAAAGCAAAAATTAATTTCTTTGGTCGGAATAACCACCGACTGACCGGTTTTGGAATACTAGCTCCTCGTCAGTGTCGGATGGATTATTTCAGAAGCCCAAGTTCTGGTGAAAATACCATACCCTTGCCTCTCATGTGAAACTACAACTTTGTAGGTACGTAAGGTAGATACCCGATGGAAAAACAACTAACCCAGCTACGCCGAAAGCTGAAGTGAAACGATCAGGCACCTGTGTAACGTCTTTCATTTGGAAGATTCGTCGCAAGTAACTTCCTATATATATGAAAAGCAGAAATTAATTTCATTTGGTCGGGATGACCACCGATAGACCAGTTTCAGAGTACTTGCTCCTCGTCGGTACCGGGAAGGTCATTTCAGCCGGAGTGAACCGCCTGAGTCTCCCTGTACCGCTTCCCTAACTAACGGCAAACAAACAGTGGAAAGTCGTCCTCGTTCAGGTTGGAGTCAGGTTCCCTTACCCTTTCAACTGATGTTTGTCAGATGGGCAAATGGGTCATGACTGATGGTGGGATGGCGACATGAATGTCCTCAGACATCAGTGCCGCCCTTCACGGTGTACCCCTACCTGGCTGGGGTGAGATGGTTGAAAAAATTGTTCATCTTTTAACGGAGGACGGCAAACAAACAAATTAATTCCAACTAGTCATAAGGTCTACCTGCAGTAGGATTTACCATTGCGCCACCTGCAGACGAAGTCCGGAAACAACTCTCCGTTTGGAAGAATCGAAGCAAGTAACTTATACATGAAAAGCTGAAGTTAACGGAATGGTTTCGGAGTATTAGCTTCTCGTCAGTGCCACATAGGTCAGTTCAGATGGAAACTATCTGAGTATCCGAACAAACAAAATGACTTCCAAGTCATAAGCTATGCCTGCTTTTGATTCGGTAGGCTAGCTAACAATGTGAAGAAGTATGCACGTTTAAATGGAGGTTATTTTCCCAAGTTATGGTACTAAAACTGACAAAAACTTGAATGAGTTATAATACAAGCGTATCTCATAACATTAAATTCAAAGAACAAGATCGCACATTACATCTTACATCGGACAAGGAATGCAACAAAACAATATTAACAGATATTACAAGTCAATCAAAAGAAAAATAATGTTGATATCTCGTGAAGAAAAGGGTTGGCAAAAGAAAACTACTTGAAACGCAAACTGCAGCCGCAAATGAACGTTTTCATAATTGCATTTTGTTCTTCAAAAATAGGTACAGTTGGGACGATAAAAGAAGGCGCAAATGTCATCAATTTGTGCATTCGATATAAGTTCACAAACCTTTCAATGAAAAACTGCTTTAATTTTTGAAATTCACTATTTGTGAAATATGTAAAAACGTATGCTTTTTTAACCCCAATATCTGACAATTCAAATATTCCATTACGCGGAACATTATACATATAGAGCTATTTCCATTTTGAGGTTAAAGTTTATATTACGATTTATATTACGATTATTTACTGTGAAATATGAAATGCTCTGATTATTAGTTGTGAAAACAATTACTTTGTGTGGTATAGAATAATTGGAACAGCAGACACTTTTCAATGAATAACATGTAAATGAATTGATGGATGTAGCCGTTACTACGTGGTAGGAGATCATGATGAGAAGAGAAATGAAACTTTCTATGTTTTTTATCACTTTTATAAAACCAAATGAAAGTGGTAAAAAACATAGAAATTTTCATTTCTCTTTTCAACATGTAAATGAATAACATGTTAACAATATATATCAACAATCAAATGGTCTGAAAATCAGAGAAATTGCCGACGAATCACGTTTGTTCAGCTACCTTTCCGGGAAGAATTTCTACCGATGATGGCGCTGCTCAAACGATAAACAGCTGATTGGAATTACTGAATGTTAAACATAGGTTATGTTTATTTTTTTTAAACTGTTGAGTCCTTTCTTGATCGGATCGTCACGTGTGATGAAAAGTGGATCCTTTACAACATGAGACGCTCAGTACAGTGGCTGGACACCGATGAGCTACCCAGGCACTTCCCAAAGGCAAAAACCCACCAACAAAAGACCATGATTACTGTATGTTGGTCAGCGGTTGGTGTGATTCACTTTAGCTTTCTGCAACCGGGCCAAACCATCACAGCTGAGTCCTATTGTGAGGAAATCGAGGAAATCTACCGAAAATTGCGTCAGCAGCAGTCGGCACTGGTCAACAGAAGAGGTCTGATCCTACTCCTCCACAAGGCCCGTCCGCACGTTTCACATGTCAGCGTTCGAAAATTAAACGAATCGAGCGTCGAAGTTCTGCGTCACCCACCATACTCTTCAGACCTCTCGCCAACCCACTACCATCTTTTCAAGCACTTCGATAACTTTCTCACTGGTAGAATCCCGAGCACAGAATTTTTATGATGACGGAATTAATCGACTTGTGTTACATAGGCAAAAGTGCTAATATTTACTGCTTGTCAGAATATATTCGTTTTAGCTAGAAAATAGTATTTTTTCATACGTAGGAGAAATTGGTTGTATAGGGTCTTAAAACAGGGATAACGGCCATCTTGTTGAAGCTACATCTGTCAAATTACCATGGATGGATATAGCATTCAACAACATGTGCGAATAATATTTTTTTTTATCAAAATGGGTGTTCTTTTCGGGCAACGTACCACGCGCTTCGCCCCATGTACGGTCTTCATAATTGTCCTACCGAGACAAATATTCGCAATGTGGTGGATACATTTGAGTCCACTGGTTCAGTTAACGATCGACTAACACCCGTACGTCAACAAAACACAAGATCTGGAGAAAACATCGTCGCTGTCTGTGAGAGTATGCAGGAGAATCCGTGGCAGTCGATTTCGCGTCGCTCACAAGAACTCACAAGAACACAGGTGATATTATCGCCTGTTTACTACACGACAGCTGAACCAATTTATGACATTCATGAATAATATCAATAGAAACATTCAGTTCAAACTCGAAACAGAAATAGAGAAACAGATAAATTTCTTAGACCTGACCATTACACGCAATCAGAATAAATTTGAGTTCAATATTTTCAGAAAACCTAGCTATAAAGACATTACCATACCAAGTGATTATTTCCATCCAGACAGTCATAAATTAACAGCCTACAATTTAATGTTGCACAAAGGATTCTCAGTAGGTACCTTTTTCTGCTAACAATCTAGCTAGGGAAATTGATATAATTACACAGATAGGCCATAATAATGATTTCAACGCAGATACAATCCAGAAGTTAGTCAGAAAACAAAGGCGAATATTCACTTACAGATTAACTCTTTGAGGGGTAAAAAATTTTACCAAAAAAATACTGTAGTCCAGCAACAAAAATT